CCAGAAAACCGTTATTTTTGGAAAGTTTCTCAATTTGGAGATGGATAGGCGCCACTGAAAAGCGGATTACCATTCCCTTAATTAAAGCTGCCTTTCTAATCCCAGTCAACCCTCTATTTTCGTCCGTGTCGTTTAGCAATTTTTACCCCGCAACCCTGGCCGGAAGGGGGATGTTTGCCAAATATTTTGAAAGGGTGGATAAACAAGCCAATGTGGTGGGTGTCGGGGGAGGGGGATATAACGAAATCCGAATTTTCTTGTTCTGTCCGGTTAATTCTGACACTTTTTTAAATTTATGGGAGCATTAATTAATTCCGTCACGATAATTCCCTTTAATAAATAAAAAGACAAAATGCAACGTGAATGCTGCAGCTGCGCAATACAGCAAAAAACAAAACATAAAGTCAACAACAAATGTCTCCTCTGGTCGAAAATAAACACTAAAAATTTCAACAATGCTAATTTCCAGGCTGTTTTCCTCAAACACATTCAAAATATTTCGCTTTCTTAATCAATTAGAGGGATAAGAGGTAGTCAATATTGATAAAAACCCTCGCAAAGGGACCTTCAGCACGCGGATCGTTACGAGTACCAATTGAATATTAATGTTAGTATAATTACAATTTTGGATACAGATAGGACATTCGTTAGTACTTTATTGACTTATTTGACAGAATAACGCGCAGGCGAACCACTGAAGATGGGTAAATGGTAAAACCAACAGAAATAAATTTGTGTGATAGTTTCATAAACTGCGAAGTGAGTTTGATCTAAGATCCTCTTGGTCCACCTATTCTCGCGGTTCTGCCCAAAGATAGGATAGTAACGCCTGCCTCTGAAGCGACAGCACACTACAAAAGGACCAAAAAATGTAAACTCCCTGACCAACAAGTGATGACCGTTAGATAAAACGACAGTAATTTAAAATAAGTGCGTTTATGTAATCGAGTCGTAATCTGCGAGGTGATTTTGATCGTTTCAGATACTCTGCGTCCGCCTATTCTCAGTGGATTTTCGTAGTTAATATTAGTGTCCTATTTTAAAAAAGAATCCATGTGACGTAATAATGCACATACCAACCACCGACTATAGATAAATGTCCAAAAGTCTGTCAGATAAGCTTGGCCTGGTCCTGCTGGTCGGTTTTCAAAATAATTATGCGATTTTTTATCGAGACCTGTAGAGTGATGACGTGTATTTTGACAGTCTACAAAGATCCTGATCCGCCCCTGATCCTGTGCACCACAGTAATGACAGTGTAGTCATTTTAGAAATGTTATGACTGAATAACACACAGGCTAACTACTAAGATAGCAATAGGCGTCTCACGGTTGGCTTTTGCTCTGTTTTGTTCCTAATACCTGGCCAATCCCGGTCCGGGCTTTCTGACATGAAATCAAGTAGTCGCCTTGCTAATCCAGGTAACTCCATGCAGAAAGGAAAAAAAAGCCTGCCAGATAATAAAAGGGTGGCTGTTTCCTCTACGTGACATTCTGTTTTTAAAAGACCGGGGAAAATTGCAGGAAAATTTCCCAGGATTGTAAGGATCTGTTTTCACAGGAGACAAGGAGATGCAAATTGGGGAGGGGGGATATGGCCAGATTACAAAACAAGGCGTATAAAATTGCCCTTAAACAAGTTGTAAAATTCTTTTCCGGCCATTTTTGTTAAACAATCTGATCTGCCGATAGATAATTGACCCAAGAAACAACAATGTCAACAAAGTTCATTACCACATTTTTATCTTAAATCTAATTTGATGTAAAATAATCAAACTTTCTTGCAAATCAAGAATGATTTTTGCGCTAATTATTATTTATTTTGATGTATATTTATTTTATAGGGTTGAAAAATGTCTTTCTTATATTAATATTTTCGGTTTCTTATTAGAATAGTAAAACTGATTAGGACATACCGCAGGTGAAAGGGATTTTCGAGACGGGGGAGGGCCATTCATCCTGAGGTAATTGGGCCCCCATTTTATAAAGAGGATTAAGGGTAAAAATTAGAAAGGACTTTTCCCCTCTTAGAATGTGAAACGCTCTTAGCTGCTCCCAGCCCTCGAGGTAGAAAAAGGCGGGTATATTTTTGCACTTGTGCCTGTTTGGAAATTGACAAATTAGAACATCTTCAGAATGGATAAATGGTAAAATTAGAAAAAGCCTAAGTAGATAGAAACAATCCAGGAAATTATCCTGGTAAGCCTTTTCGCGCGTCGGACACAAACAGGACCGGATGAACAATTAACTTGCATATCATCAGGTTGCAAACCGACCAGAAAAATGCTTAGATAACAATACAAAATTACACTACAAACTCAACAATACACATCTAAATAATATGTTGCATAAATAGTTTAACATAAAAACGGACAAAACGTTGGACCAAAAATTAATTTAGATAAACACGAAGTAAATCATTTTTAATGGTTAGGAATAAATATTTTCCAGCTATTAAGAAAGCAATAAATTAAATCGCCTTAAACATAGGTAAATATTATGTTTTCTTTATCAATCTCATCTGGGTTTCAAAATTTAAACTAGTAAAAAATTTTCTAGTCCTGAAAAATAGCCTTATGGTCAAAATTTTGAATTTTAAAATATAAAAACGCAAATTTTTGTTTAACCTTAATCATGAATTTATTTATTTTTTAAAGAAAAATAGAGAAACATTGTTTATAAATATTGAAAATTATCCAAGTTATAAGCCTTTTAGTCTTAAGTACTTAAGCCTTATAATATTTTTGTTTATCCTTTTATTTTTTTATGTTAACATCTGCCAAAAATTCAAATATTAAATCCTTTCACTTATTACTATTTAATTTTCAACTTTAAAAAAATCATGCAATCAAAAAAACATGCAGTTGCAATAAAACCCAAAATTCAGAAATATTATATTAGGACTATTGTTAAACCTTTCTAAGCATTAAAAAATAGTACCTTTATTATATTAATTTCTTATAGGGGTTTTCTTGAGGAGGGGGTCTTATTGTTTTCAAATTTTGAGCCTTCCAGTGGAGAAAATTGCTTCGCCTGAGCCCTGGATCTTTCGACCTAGGGCTTTTATTACTTTTTGAAGGTTATTACAACACATTGACGAACACTGTATTTAGCGAAATGAAAAATCGTACAGCAAAATTTCCACCCTAGCTGGTTGATTTTAAGGTTTTTTCCAAACTGATCCCCCACAAAAAAAAAATCAATTTTCCTGATTTCCTGATCCACCACTTCGTATTTGGTTAGGTTATTGACAAAAAAAAAACAACCTCAGAAAAATTTAACAATGATTTTGTCCATGTAACATTTTCTCCCCCCCCACAATATCGATTTTGGATCGAAAAAAACATAATTTTTTAACAGAAAATTACTTAAAAAAAGGAACGACGTCAAAAAGCTTTTTATCAAAATGGAAGCACCCTGATCGGGCCACGACCTTTAAAAAATTAAGAAAATTACCATTTATTCATTGGATTTTTTTGAAAAATTCAGAACAAGAAGAAAATCAAAAATGGATCGACTTCTAATTGAATCGGTATCAATTTTAAGAAATTATTAACAGAGAGAAGGGGGACCAAAACTTGATGAATTTTGAAACACGGATTAAATTTTAGACAGGCTGTTCTTTCGGTCTGGATTTGGCGGTATATATTATTTAAAAAATAGAAAAGTAAGACGAAAATGATCATTTTTAATCAAGCATGGATCAAATTTTAGATAGGATTTATTTTGGTTCAGATTTCGCTGTATTTCTATATAAAGAAGCAAAAAAAATTAAAATATTGAAGAAAGGGGAGGAAATTGGGACCAACAATTGATGATTATTAAAATAATATTTATAAAATGGCAAACAAAAAATTAGATTAATGAGGAAAAGGAAGGAGAAGGGGACCAAATATTGATCAAATTCTAATCGAACACAGATCAAATTTTAAACAGATCGTTCTTTTGGTCTAGATTTCTCATTATTTCTTTATGACAAAATAATGAACAATCAGAATAATGATGAAAAGGGACTAAAAATGATAATCATTTTTCGAATATAGATCAAATTTTAGACAGACTGTTCTTTTGGTCTGGATTTCACAGTGTATCTTTATAAGTGTGCAAACAAAAAATTGGAATAATGAGGAAAAGGAAGGAGAATGGACCAAAAATTGATCAAATTCTAATCAAACACAGATCAAATTTTAAATAGATAATTCTTTCGCTCCAGATTTTCCATTATTTCTTTATGAAAAAATCAGAATAATGACGAAACGGGACCAAAAAATGAAGATCACTTTTCGACTGGATCAAATTTGAGACAGACTGTTCTTTCTAGGTATATCTTTACCAAATTGAAAAATGAAGAAAAAGGACGAGACAAAAAATTATAGTTTCTAATCAAACCTGGATCAAATTTTATTCAGCCTTTCTTTTGGTCCAGATTTCGCTATATTTCTTTACAAATAATCACATATAATAAGAATATTGAAGAATAGAGAGGAGAATGGGACCAGAATTGATCAATTTCGGGCTTGAATCACTTTTTTATATGGACTGTTATTTTGCTGAATTTCTCTTTATATATTTAAAAAAATAAAATAAAATGAATGAGAGAATAGGAGACAAAAAACGTTAATTTATAATCAAACCTGGATCAAATTTTATACAGCCTTTCTTTTGGTCCATATTTCCCTGCATTTTTTATAAAGAAGTAAAACAAATAGAATATTGAAGAAAGGGACCAAAAATTGATCAATTTCAGATTTGTATACTTTTTTATATAGACTGTTATTTTGCCTGAATTTCTCTTTATCTAAAAAGAATAATGAGGAAAAGTTGTAGAAACAGGTGTACTAAAGTGCCAATTTGTAAGAAAACTTCAATATTTAGATAAATTATTTTGTTATGATTTTGAGGGTTTTTCCAGTATAAAAAAAGCTTTAAAAAAAATTAATTTGGATGGCATAAACACTGCTTGTTGGTTATTTGAGGTTGATTGAAAAATAGCCAACTTACCTAAGATGTAGGGTCTATGAGACGTTGAATCCTGTGAGAAGTGTCCTTGCCCTGATGTCCTGGCGGATGAGGGACAGCTGTACCACCGGCGAGCCTCGGAGCCTCACTGAATCCTCGTCCGAGTGAGGGATGTTGGCGAGAAGAGGGCCGTCGGGGCGGGGAGGGATGCCTCTTCTTCCCGGACCCGGGATCTGCGCAGATGTGGTCGGGGGACGATGAACACGCCTACCCCGGGGCGGAGGGAGCGCCGGAGCAGCCGCCGGGAGGGGGTTCGCTCTCTTCTACCATCTCGGAGTCAGTCGGGGCGAAAGACTCGCTTACTATACGTGGTACGGGGATTAGAAAAGTACCTGAGTACCATTGACCTAACGCTCTTTTACGATTGGAAGGAGAAATGAACCTTTGGGTCCGCCATTTCTCGCCTTTCTTCGTACAGATCCTATACACCCGATACAATATGAAAGAACCAAAGTTTTTCCTTCTTAATTTTAATAGCTTAACTTTCAGCTTCGATAAAATCCAAAATTGAAGCATATATTTTTAACTTTTGGTTTTTATTATTGTACTGAATTATTAACATATCTTTTCGAAAAAATCAGCGAGATCATACTCGATCTGCCAGACCTTGCATTGTGTCAAATTGTGCAAGCACAACTGATTTTACTGTCTCAAAAAATTATAATTGGCACGAGTGGTATTCGAACCCACGACCTTGGGTTCGAATCCCGCTCGTGACACTAACTTTTTCATTTCAACCAAAACCTTACGTAAAAAGATTAATTAATTGAAAGAAGTAATTTGGTCAATAGACCACTAAATCTAATGTATTATAATAGATATTTGACTTTTGGGCCCGAGGGAATCCAACATTTGCTTTTGGTCTTGAAGAAATAAGCAAATAATCTAGTCTACTAGCTAATTCATGTGACTTTTGTTCAATATAATCGTCTTTTTCCGACCAATTTTCCAAATTAAAACTGTCTACAAAAATTTGATAACTTCAATGAAACAAGGAAGCTTGGGTTCGTTCAATTAGTGACTATTTAAATTTAATCTCAGCAAGTGGAAAGAAGAAAGGTCGGATTCGGTCATTCATATTGAATCTCTGAGCATTTGGTAGGCTGGCAGCGATAGACAAAAAGCGTAGTATCGCGGACCCAAAGGTAATTTTTACCTCAAACTCCTACAATTTTAAGAAAAGGTCTGTTAATAACTATGTGAAAACCGTAGTAATAAAGACTTGCATTTGGATGGGATTGCACAGTAAGACGAAGAGCGAGTAATGACGGACCCATACGTTCTTTTAATCTCCCATTCGTGTCTTTTCCTTCCAATCATCCAAAAAATGAGGCTCAAAAGTCACTGCTAAAATTTGTGGAATAAGAAAAGCCAAAGGAGGGTTCATTCATATAGCAATTAAAAAAAGATTTTTGATATAAATCAGAAATTTATTGGCCATTATGTAAAATAGATGTATACTCAAGACCACAAATAAGCAAATAATTAAGAATGTCTTCTATTTCATGGTGGCATTTTTTTTCTATATTCTTTTTTATCCGTCCAATTTTGAATTTTATTTGGCCCTAAAGCCTCAATCACTGCTGAGGTCTGATTCATCAGCAACACCGAAACAAGGAAGATCTGGTCCGTTCGTTCATACTTCATCCGTAAAAGGAGATTTTTGTCGAACAAAACGCGCACAATATGGCGAAAAGGGAAAAAGCACGGACCCAAACATTTCGTTTTTGCCAGAAAAGGTCTATTAATAATCCTGATAAACATTTGTAATAATCCCAGGCCCTGAAGATGATCTCAATAAAGATCGAAACGTTGGCACGATAAAGAAAATGTTTTTCTGAAACCTACATCACACCAGACCGCATCTCACGATTTCGGAATAATTAATTTGTAACTAAGAGCAAAAGGAAACGATTCAGACATCTAGCTAATCCATTTCTCTTTTCTATTACATTACTTTTCTCTTCAATTTCATTATCCTAATGCCTCAATGACTATTTAAATTTAATCTCAGCAAGTGCAAACAAGAAAGGTTAGGTTCGGTCATTCATATTGCATCTGTGAGCATTTGGTGGGCTGGTAGTGTTAGACAAAAAGCGTAGTATGGCGGACCCAAAGACAATTTTTACCCCAAACTCCTAAAATTTTAAGAAAACGTCTGTTAATAATTATTATGAAAACCCGCACAATCATGATTTGTTTACATAAGCAATATGAAAGAACAAACTCGAGCTTCCTTGTCTCGCTCTTGCTGACTTATCAAATTTTACTAGCGATTGAGCCTTTTGAGCCATATAATATATATAACAGACCTTTTCTTAAAATTTTATGAGTTGGAGCAAAAAGATTTTTGAGTTCGCCATACCTCGCTTTTGGTCAAATTTTGCTTGCTATGCTATATGAACGAACCATCTCAAATTTGCTGATGAAATCCAAAATTTAACATAATCATTGGAAGGGAAAAATAAAATTGAAGAGTATAATTGTCCAAGTTCATCTAATACTGTATGCCATAAGATGCTATATGATTGAATCCTGTCTTTGTCTTATTCACCAAATTTTAGTAGTGATTACTTTCTTTTCTATAATTTTTTTTACTATTTGGATGACATGAAAGAAAAAGTCACAAATAGGAGGTTAAAAGAATCTTTGGTCTGCCTTTACTCGCTGTTCATCCAATTGTCCACCAGATAAATCTATGAATAAACTCGTTGATGCTTGAATTTTATTTTTCTGCTCCACTTTCATTAGGTCTCGAACATACTGGTACCACACAATTATTACAAAAATGGTCGTGAGAGAGAGGCGAAAAGGACCTTTGGGACCGCCATTCTTCTCTTTTCCTCATTTGTTCACGTCTGTACAAATATCCGCTTATACAATAGATGCAGTATTTTCTTGATTCGCTCTTGCTGACTCAAAATTTTACTAGTGATTGGGGCTTTTGGGTCGAATAAAACCCAAAATTTGAAGGGAAGGGGAATTTGATTGAAAAGAGAAATATCAAATGAATTAACTTGAAATTTGAACACTTAACTTCTCGCCTCGATTGCACGTGTTTCACACCATAATATGTAACACACATTGTATATAGATAGACCTTGTTATAATACCTTATTATAAATAAATTTACGAGTTTGTGGCAAAAATTTGGGGACGCTCAGTTCTAGTTTTTCGTTATTTCTGCACGCCCACTTAAATAACAGCCATCCAATAATAACAGTTTCCTTATTTTGTTAGTAGTCATTGAGGTTTAGTGCCAAATGATAACTAAAATTGAAGCATAATTTGGATAATGAAACGGAAAATGGAAAACATAAAAAAAACAAATGCCAGATGAATTAGTTAGAAAACGTACTTAATTATTTGCTTATTTGAGGTCTTTATTATACAGGGGTTCACAGGTTTTATCTCACTTTTGTTCAAATTGTCCACCTAGTGTGACGATATATGAATGAATAGTTTTGCAGATGAAAAATAAAATTTAACATAATCATAGGAAAGGAAAAAATAAGATGGAAGAAAAGATAAATATCAGATAAATAAACATTATTTTTTCGAACAAACCAAAGATCTTTGGGTCCGCCGATTCTCGCTTCAAATTGTGCACCGAAATGACCTCTAATGTTTGCAATAAGAAAGAACATGAACTTCCTTGCTTAGATGTTTCTGGGTTAGTGACTGACAGATTTTAATAACAGCCGAGGTTTTTTTGCAAATCTTTAGAAAAAGTCATGAGTTAAGGGCAAAAGAATTCTTTGGGTCCGTCATTTCTCGCTTTTCGTTAAATTGTACAATTTGACTGAAATATCAGATTACAAATGCAATATGAGTGCAAAGCTGTTTCAGTGTTTCAGAGTTTATAAATTTCGTGATTTGGATAATTTGAATATAAGTAATATTATTCAGAAATCGTGAGATGCGGTCTGGTGTGATGTAGGTTTCAGAAAAAGTTTTCCACTGGCACTCAACACGACATGCAAGAATGACACAATTACACAGAAAACAAACACTTTGAGTGAGTAGACATATTTTGATTGAATATAAAAAATATTTTTTGCGTTGTATAAATTCACTTTTTTCCACATCCTACATGTATTTGTTAAATTTAAACAATGTTTGTAAATCCCAGGCCCTGAAGATGATCTCAATAAAGATCAAAACATTGGCACGATAAAGAAAAGGTTTTTCTGAAACCTACATCACACCAGACCGCATCTCACGATTTCTGAATAATCATCGACTAATGGTCACTAATCACCACACATAAGTAATATTGTAGAAAAAGACAGCTATAAAATTAATAAGTTGGAATGTGTGCTTTTTTTGGAAAGAGAAGATTGTATAGATGAATATGCTAAAAGAACTTTGAAAGATTTATCTTTTGGGCTTGATAATATTGATAATTTGAGTAGAAATATTGATTTTTGAAAAAAAAGTTACGAATTGGACAGAAAAATGATCTTTTGGTTCGCGAAAATCAACGGACCCAAAAAAATGTTTTTGCCTTTTTCGATCTGTTGTACATAATTATTGGACGTAAAATATTATTATAGAATGAACTAGAGCTTTTTCATTTTTGGTCTTCATTATTTTGCTCAAATATTGTAGGAAATTTTTGAAATAGTCACGACTTGGATGCGTGAGAGATTTTTGAGTCCGTTTTTTTTTCTAGTTTTTCTTCAAATAGAACAAATCCATCAGGCGCTTTCTATTGAGCCCAAAATAACTATGTATTAAAATTGGTAAAATCAGCAAAATTTGTTCTATTTGACGAAAAGCGAGACAAGGCCGACCCAAATATCTCTAACGCCTCAAAGTCGCGACTTTTTTGAAAGTCTATCAATAATTGTGTGAAATATTGAAGAACCAAAACGATAGCATGTTAATATTTATACTTATAATAATTTATTTGAGGAAAAGGGAGGAATAGCGGACCCAAGGATCATTGGTCTGTTCAATTCTTGACTTTTTACAAAGATTAATTGTGCTTATATTTTGGATTTTATAAAATCCAAAAGGTGTCATTCGAAGTTCTTTTAGTGTATTCATCTATAAAATCTTCTCTTTACAAAAAAAGCTTACATTTTAGATTGGTCCAAAAGCTCAAAAGGTACATAATTTCAACTTCTTGCAACTTATTAATTTTATACT